CTCAGGCGCTCACACCCACATCGCCAAAAATTCATTCCAAGGTAAAACTCGTAAAACTCGCTCAATCGTCAATTGATAACGTGCACACTAGGGTGCCAATGAAATGTATGGGAAAAAAGTGACCATCCAATTTTTCAAACCGACCACATACAAAATGTTCATGGCCTCATAAAAAACCCGATGCAAAATTTGGGCTCAATCGGACTTGATTTGGTGTGGCGCAAAATCGTCAAAATTTGAAATTTTTCCATATGATAAATCTCTTAAGTAGGATACATAAAATTTCGGATTTTTTGTTTTGTTTTGATGCCGAATGACTTAAAAATGCATGCACTTTGACAATTTTTCGCAATTACAAATCATGTCCGATTGAGACCAAATTTTACATAGGGTCTTTTTAGAGGCCGGTGAAAAATGGCCGGTTTAATTTTTTTGCCATTGGACCCTAATGCACATGTATGTTTTGTTAGTTTTTCAACGAATAAGGCTGTCCACACGACAGCTGAGTTTTTTGTTTACCAAGAACTTTTGACAGATCACAGTAGAACTGGCAGTTTATTCTCATATGAATTTTTGCTCTGTTTATGTTTACATTCAGCACCATTATCACCAGATCACTCACACACTCTAGATTTCTAGCTATCAGTTCCACTGAGAAGCGACTCTTGGCTCACCTTATAATGCAAAAATAAACACTTAGAACCGAGGGGGGTGACTCTATCTAAGATGCAGGGAATTTTTGGCTTTGCTGTTGTGAGATGCTCTCGCGCTTAATAGATAGAAACACGATTGATTGTGATTTTGAAGATTTCCTCCAAAAAGGTGGATAACGAAGCGAGTAGATAGGTTTAGATGCAAGAGATGAAATTTTTTTTTTCCTAGATTGATTCGCTAGTGTGAGATTTTTCGACCATTTGAAATCGAGATTTAGATGTGTCGCACCCCTTGCTTAGAACAATGAAAAAGTATGCCAAAATATAAAGGGGTCAACCATAAATTATGTAAGGGTTTCTGAGTGATTACTAGTCTCCACCTGTTCCCTTGTAAGACACTTTAAGATTTCCTCCTAAAATCTTAATAAGATTCTTGTTAGGTGTCAAAACCGGATGCTCCCTGTAAAATGTTACTCCTTTGAAATATTTCATGCCACCCATCTCTGTCCCAGCATAAAATGGCTGCGATGACAGTTATGCTGTTGTTTACCTCCCGCTGCAATTCAGTTGGCGTATAGCACCGTAGATTTTCTATTGTAGTTTTTTTTTCTATAGCCGTTAAAGTGTTCTTCCGGTTCCACACAGTAAAAAGCCCAGTTGTCACAGTTGGAGGTGCAAATACACAGCAAAAAAAAATGTAATATCGATCAACGTAATTCAAGCTGATGTATGAAATAATGATGTAATAGCAAAAAGCAGATACAATATTACATCAATGGATGTAATTTTGTTCGCAAAATCGATGTACATCATACAATGTGATATAACACAACCGATGGATTGACCTGGTTGCAGCAGTATCGATGTAATATTCAACAACTTTTTTTGCTGTGTAGAAATCGCAGTATTTTCTAGGAAGATATTGTGAAATTTCATCCCAAAGGAAAACAAACCGAAATCCCAATCCTGAAGATAAACAGCCCGACCCAACATTATTTGGTGCCGTGACCAGAATTCTACCAGAAGATACCCTCCTATCCTGGTCACGGCACCATATGATCGTGCACGGGCGGGACCCCTACGCGTGGCAATCCCTCCGTGAATTAGCTTTTCGTGATGGTACTTGAAAAGAAGTTTCGTAAAAGGGTGGAAACCAGGAAAAACGATTGAGTGTTGTACGTTGTAGGTTTCGTTCGAAAACTTTAACCGGCCACCGATACGAATAATGCCATGTGCATCCAGGAATGGGTTGAGTAGCCGTAGCTTCGATTGACTGGAGACAGACATACCTTTTCGCAGCAGCTTCAGCTCCTTGTTGTACCCATTTAGCCAACATTAACTTAGCAGCATCTAATTCTTCAGCGTCTAATACCCTTTCAAACGATCCCTCCTCCGGATTAGATCGAGCATTCCGAACAAATAGCTGAATTAATCCAACTAGGTTTTGCAGTCGTGTGTAGCTCGAGTATCGCAATTCGCAGGAATAAGGGATCAGGTGACGGTGTTAGAACAGCAAGCATCGTAGATTTCTTCTGCTCCAATTCGTCCGCTGGAAGGTGACTTCCTTCGTACGTTTGGATAGGCTACGATGATTTCGATTATCGTAGCCAGCTGAGTCCGTACTTCCATTTATCGCTGTCCAGCAGTTCGTTCGCAGAAACTGCTCGGGATACCAGATCAGCGGGATTTTGATCTCCGGAAACGTGCAACCATTCGGAACCGTGAGTGGTTGATTGTATCTCTGAGATACGATTTGCGACGAACGTCTTCCACGTTCGAGGGGGCGATTTCATCCACTGCAAAACTACAGTTGAGTCGCTCCAAAAGTAACTGGATGATATTGGGGCATTGATCGCGAGAGTGATTTTCTCATACAAACGGGAACCAATCAGTGCGGCGCATAGTTCCAGTCGCGGGGTGCTAAGTCTCATCAGCGGAGCTACCTTTGATTTCGACGCTAGCAGGCTCACCTTGAAGCTGCCGCCCGTAGCTTCCGATCGTACGTACACGCAGGCTCCATAAGCTGCCTTTGATGCGTCAGCAAATGTGTGGATTTCGGCCCGTTTAAAGTTCGGTGTGAATGCGCAACGGTCAATTCGGAAATTGCTGGCAATAATTATCCCATTTGCGCAGCATCTCCGGAGTTACCTGATCGTCCCAATTCAACGAGAGAAGCCACAGATGTTGTATCATGATCTTTGCCTGGACGATGATGGGGAATACGAGACCTAGGGGATCGTACAGCTGAGCGATGGCACGTTTGGTTGCAGCTTGCGACTTCAAGGTGACGAATACGTTGAAACAAAATACATCGGCTTCCGGTTCCCAGCAATTTCCTAATGTCTTGGTGGTTTCTTCGGGATTGAACTTGAGTGGAGACTGTGTTCCAAGAAGCTCCTGAGGAATTTTTGCCATTACCTCCGTCGAGTTAGACACCCATTTGCGAAGACGAAATCCTCCTTTCTGCATCAGCTGTGTCAGCTCGAACTGAAGTCAAATAGCGCCTTCCACAGTGTACTCCCCTCCGATGTAATCATCGACGTAGACATTTTTCTTGACCGCCTTGCTAGCATTTGGTTATGCTGCTCCTTCGTCCTCTACCAGTTGCAGTAGCGTTCGCGTAGCTAGGAATGATGATGGAGCGAGACCATAAGCTACGGTTGATAGCTCGTAGATTTTTATGGGTTCTGTACTGTCGAATCGGAATACGACTTTCTGCAATCGCCGGTCATCTGGGTGCATCCAAACTTGGCGGTACATTTTTTCTGCATCGGCCGATAGTGGCTGGTAGCCACCACGATCATAGTGGTGCTCGGCTCCTTCATGACGGGGTGATGTGGGAGGTAGCACTCGGGACGCTGGTTACTATCGCCGCCCGGAATCGATTTGAGATCAGCTTTTTCTCCAACATCTGCTCTAACCATCGGAAGCGTCGAAAAGCATTCGTTTTGGAGTCTCCGATCATTTGTTCGAAGAGGGGATCTTTTGGCATTTGAACAATATATGGACCAGTCGGATCTCTGGAGACGGTTTCACGAAAAAACTTCTCACACCGCTGCTCGTCGAATGAATAATTCGATCGACTGACTTCTTCGATCTTCCAAAACCGTTCCAAGAGTTCGTCCACAGGTGTTACTGTCGCCACATAAGTTACCATGGAGTGATCCATTGCTTCCTTGGTTTCCATCATCGTACCAGTTACGATCCAGCCGAATACTGTTTCGATGAGCATGGGGAGGTTAGCTGCCAAACGAATCTTTCCTTCTCGAATGAATGCGAAGAAATAGCCAGCTCCGATAATCATGTCTATTCTTCGGGACACGTTGAACTCAGGATTAGCCAACCGTAGAGTCTCGGGAACGTTCCAGCTCAAGGTGGCGAACTGGGGGTGTGTCACTGGTGACACTTTCGTAGAACCAAAAAATCAAGCGTTTGCTCGAATTTGGTGACTCTGGATCGGACTTCGGTGCGTACCTTATACTTTGCATTTGTAATCGTTGCATCAACACCGGATATCGGGATGTTCACGAGATTGCGGGATAGCTAAAAGCATTGGGCTGAGATCCTGAATACAACAAGGCACAGGCAACATGCTCCTGGCCGTAGGCGTCGACGATTAACAGCACAACTGTTGATTGAAGGACATTTGCGTGGGCCGCTTTCACAGCAGAGTTAGACTGCGTCGGAATTTCAGTGATTCGATATGGACGTCGAATTGTCGCTAGCGGATGTATTAGCTCTATTGCGTGCATCAGTATCCGATTGACGAGTCTCACCCGGGCCTGGATGAATCATGGAATGATGGCGCTTGGAACAATGCTTACAGTTGAACTTTGAACGACAAGCACGGGCAAAGTGATCACTCCGGAAGCAGTTGCTGCAGAGCCTCTTGTCATTCACTACCTTCCGTTCTCTTCCTTCTAAAATCATAGTAAGATACCAGAATTTAAAATAAAATCGTTGAATATTGAATCGGGAACAATTTAATAAAAACTTTTCACTTTTTCTAATAATCAATGTACGTGCAGGTTTTTTGGTCTAAAACGATAAAGATCAAATTATTTTCTTCTAACCATTATATCTTAGGTATTAAAATGTGAGCCCCCCTTTCCCTATTGTATGAAACTGCAAGGATTGTGAAGACCCTCCATCCCCATTAATCCCTTACATAATTTGTGGATGACTTCAAAGTAACGAATTTTATAATCGATGATTTTTGCGCAATTGAAACATGCTTGGCAAAACTCGTTGGCCAATAAATTCATACATGAGATTGCAGTTTTTGAGTTTTCCCGCACACTACTGATGATGCATTATTTCACCTCTCGTCTTCTCTCCCTTCCACAGGCCCAGCGACGTGGTTCGGTCCGATACGACCGGCAGCATTCTCACTCATCATCATCACCATCATGGCTAGACGACACGGTTCTACAGGAAAGTGAAGAACAGTTTAGCAGTTCCCCGAGGCGACGTATTCCGACGTCTCAAGCTGCGGAACGGTCAACCAGGACCATCGCGGGCCGAAGCCGCAGTAGACCGACTAAGGCCCAGCCCAACGTTCAGAGCCGATCGCTGGAGACAAGCAGCGAAGAGCAGTACGGATCTCGTCGAACTACCAAAGAGCAGTATGCTCCTAGTTTGCGAAGCGAAGTGGTCTATCAGAACGATTTTTCTCGGCGTTCAGATAAGGGATCGGAAGAGACGGTTCAGAGCAGGAGGAAGTCTCGCCTGAGGGGTTATAAGAATGATGTCCAGGATGTTAGTAGCAGCACGAGTACCACTACGGTGGCTAGTGCAAGAGCAGGTCGGAAACTCGGTAATAGGCTTGGAGGTGGCAGCAGCAGGTTTTCGAATGAAGTTGAAGAGGTTCTACCCAGTACGTCAGCAAGATCTGTCGAGAGTCGATCCAGGGGTAAGGTGAAAGCTGCATCCAAGGAACGGATGGAAGATGTAGCGTCCGACGAAAACTATCCTGAAGAGTTCAAGAAGCTGTTGAAGGCAAAACTTCAAGAGAATAAGGTGAAGGGCGCCAACAAGTTGGATGCATCTACGGAAAAAGGTCTGAATGAAAAATATGAGGTTCCACGGTTCAAGGTGAAGGTGCTAAGTACGACAACAGAGGGACCGTCGACTACCGTCAAAGTGATCACTCCTCGTCCGGTGAGGACTTTTTCAACGTCATCGACCGAAGAGACAAGCACGAAGGCAAGGGCCGTCACGTCTAGAGGTAGGACGGCTAGTACGACTTCGTTAACGCCACGATCTTCGAAGAGGGCGACTACACCGAGACCTAAACCTTCATCGTCCTCTACGACTTCAGAATCCCCAACTACCACAGCAGCAACTACTCCCAGATCAGCGAGAGGGTATTCTCGAAGACCTAGCCTTGTGAGTCAGTTAACATCGACAACTACCACTTCAACGTCCACTCGCAAGCCATATATTCCGACAACCAGAAGTTTGGCATCCAGCAAAAGATCATTCTCGACAACCTCAGCTCCCGTTGTTTCGAAAGAATCGTTAGAATCTGGACCAAAACGTGTACCCAGTGATAATAGTTTCGTGATTTCATCCCTCCGCAACCCTAGTGGATTCCGATCTTCTTCATCGCAGAGGAAAAATCGTAAACCATCAACTACGGCCGAGTTGAACAACGATCTCCAACCGGTCGTAATTCCCACCCGTTCCAAGGTAGCTACACCATTGAATACGGTAAGTTGCACTTTGTCAATTGATAACTAGATAATTCCCCGCCACCCTTCCCCTAGATTGTTGATTACTTCCCTCACCCTAATCTTGATTCTCGATTTGTCTAAATTCTCACCCACTTGATACTAACATCTTTATTATATCCGATCCATGTTCGCACGCAATCTCCCACCTGCCACACCTGCTTCGCCACCACCTGTATCACACCCCCATAGCCGAAACGCCCGCAGTCGTCGTCGTCGTCCGGTTCTCGAGTGCCGAACCGCTTCGATTCCAATTTCAAGAAGACCCCAGTTTACACCCCGACCATTCCCAGCTTCAAGGCGACACCACCGACGCCGGTAAGTCAGCTGCTTTTCAATTCTCCTCGTCATCTCCCTCCTCCGAGAGGTATAGAGTTCACATGTAGGACGACCAAACGTCTCTGTTGAAAACCACCCCTCCCCCACCCCCATCGAACTCATTGTCAACCATCCCCGACCAATCGTTACGGTTAACTACCAGATAGGCAGCAGGTTGAAACAACTAGTAAAACAATCGAACCCTTATTACTTCCGATAAACAATTCAGTAGGTAGAAGAAGAATGGAACCTGTCTACCTGTCGTAATCCACCCTATTTAGAGTCCAAGCAAATATAGGAACTACATATTAGACCGTAATTGGAAATCGTATCATCACGGAGAGAGATAGCGAGCTGAGGAGGTTCCAGAAAGAAAGGATGGGAAATGGTCAAACGCAAGCTTGTATGCACTAGTGATGTCGGTCGGACGGATGTTTGTTTATTCGGACCGAGATGGGTCCAGTGGTATAACTACTTTGTTCGATTCCAAATGTCGGTGTGTTTGTGTGAACGAGAATATGAACTGTGGACGAGTGATATCATTTCTTAAATTGCTGTGTTCCGGTTGAAGAATGGGGGGGCTTGGGAGTCCGGAATGGGTCATTGATGCCTGCTTTAGAGTACACGTGTCCTATCGACAGGGATTAGAGCTACCCATTCAAAGCTGTACGAGCTGTACGAGGAGATGATTCTGGTTCAAGATGGTGGTAGTAAATTCGCTCTAATTAGAACTTGATTCGATGGTAAAGCTCATTAATTCCTTTCCATTTACGGAGAGTTGCTAGGGACGTTTGAGCAGTTCCACGCCAAATGATGAATCGGAAAATTCGTCCTTCTCCGATTTGAATGAAACTTTACGTAATTGTTTGTTATGGGCAATTGTTGACATCTTTGCTAAAACTCGGCCATTATGGTGCTTGTTAAATTTTCAAAATAGCGTCTTTGATATTTAAAAAAAAATGTAGCACGAAAATGAGACTTCTGGTCGAAATGACGCAGTTGTAGAGAAAAGAAAATACAAACAAAACGTTTTTAGTAATTTTAAGAAAAACATAAAAAACGTTGAAATCCTATTTGTCTGAAAATGTCCTGGTCCGATTATAGAAATTTATTTTTTTAAGAAAAATTTATAAAAATTCAAACATTAAAAAGCCTTAATTTATAGACACTTAAAAATTGGCAAAAATCGTTCAACGTTATTTAGGTATGTAATTTATACTCCGAAAACAATTTTTGAGACATTTTGAATCATTTTCATGAGCATGCATGAGCATGATTGACCGCCCGCGGATGCTACTCTGTTATTGCCAGGTCAGCTGTAATTACACAGAGAACCAATAGACGATGCTTAGGGCTAGCATTCATTCTCAATGTGTAAAAACTGTTGATCTCAAACTAGGCAATACCAGCGCCGGCTGCGCCCGAACGCAGGTCAAGAAAGGAATTAGTAGGAATGTGTTGACGTGATACCCGCTATGTAGGAAGCCGAAAAAACCTCTGTACTTCCACGAAAAATCACTGGGATTTTGGATAAAAGGATTGGGATTGCAGCAGGAATCGTTTTGGTAAACGATAAGCTGAATAGATATCGTAATGATCATATAACGCGAAGGAGCTTGGGATGGAACCCACGAAAACGTTTGCCACTAGGCAAACGAGCTCGTTATATTGCAACAGCAATTAACGAGTCTTGAATGTGGCTGTGCCTGAGGTTAAACTCGTGATGTTCTACTCGGTAAGCAAACGTTGTCGCTCTAAGGCCACCGAGCCCTTCTTATCACACCATACCATCTGATCGAGTTGTTGTCGTAACCATTCAAACCCGGTACCAACGGCGACGAAGACGACGACAACAAGTTTCGAGTTCCTGCACGTTAAATAGCGACCTTATACATTACATTGCTCAATAAAACATCAAAATAAATCTAAGTACCCCTAAAGCACAGCATAGTATACCATACGCGACCGAACAAATCGTGAACGACTTTTTGAAACTCAACAAAATTAGCCACGTGCAAAGCCTGTATCAAAACACAACTAATTAGGTTAGGTTATTAGCGAGACTTTCTGCCAGAAGTTGGTTCATTTCTTTACAACGAATTAAGATTACAGCAGTTTTACCTTCCATTTAACTAGAAACGACAAATAAACATGATTCTAACTAAAACCAAACAAAAGATCACGCGCGATCGAGGTTATTGCGCCGGGCGGCAAACATTGTTTTTAACTGGAACAAATGCACCAAATCCAACCATGATCCAATGGTACATTCACTTGCATGAGCATGAGCACGATTGACCGCCACAATGTTTGATACATTTTGAATCATTTTCTGAGAGAAAATACTATGGAAAGCTTACTAACAAAAAGTTCTTGTTCTGCGATTTTTGGCAGTTTTTAAGTATCCATGGTCAAAAGCATGCATTGAAATTTTGTTTTCATTGAAGACATTTTAAGGATTTTGTTTTTAAATTTTTACTTGAAATTAATAAAAATTATGATTTGTCTTTTTTTCACAGATAGAAACTATTTTTCTGCAATTTCATCAGTGGTGCCGTTTCCGTGCTACAAATTTTTGAAATATTTCAAATACGCCATTCTGAAAATTTTAAAAATTTGAATTATAACCATAACCATAACATTCAATTATGCAAAATTTCATACAAATCAGATATTTTACCTAATGGGTATTTAGCCGAAATAGTCCTTTTGAATATAGGGTATATGTACCTGTTATCGATACACGTTGGTGTGTTCCAATTATGGAACATGTAAATGCCGTAGGCCATAACTGGAACAAAACCTTATAACCACGTACAGCCATAACTGGTACGCCCACTCTATGTTGACGATACAAAGCAGTATTTCAGTATTTTGGAAAATGTTCGTATTCCCAGGATTAGACATTGATTTTTTTTTAGTTAAAATATTCCAAGAAAGATGTTTTATGTTTTGATGATTTTTGGGACTCCCAGCAAACTTAAAATATGATTCTAGAGACTTTTGAATTCAAGATTATATCAGACTTATTCCAAATGAAGTTTATCAAATCAAATAACCTTTCTGTCATATGTGATTCGGCCAGAAGACCTTTCAGCCAAATGTATTTTCGTCTGGTTGTCATGTTGTGCCAGAAGCAGACTGATTGTTATGGGCAATGAGTCACATTGTTGCTAAAAATCGACCATTTTGGAGCTTGACAAAGTTTCAAAAATTTTCAACCCAGAAACAGCTCTACTGGTCAAAACGACGTCTGAAACAAAATTGTAGAAAGGTTAGTTCTTGCTGGGAAAATAAACAAAAAATGTTTTTTTTTTTTATTAAGTTGAAGCAAAAAAAAAAAAATATTTAAACCCAAGTAGGGTAAATTATGGCTTCGGCACCTATTGACTGTTTTCGGCAACCGAAATTGAAACGTTAATTTCACTGTATTTTCCCATCAAAACTCTTCGCTGAATGTATTAAGCCGATTCCTTACCTTTTCAGCTTCAATTTGATTACATTTTTACGACTGTGCAATCCTGTTATGCCATATTTTTCTTCAAATTAAATATACACACTACAAAATACGGCTGATTTCGAGTTGTCGATAATAGAACAGCTGGTTAACACTCAGTTCAAATGGAAAGGGTGCCGAAGAAAAAGAGACTGCCGACAATAGTCACACTCACCTGAGAAGTTTGGAGCGTTGTAAAAACATGTTTAACCCGTTTTGATCAAATCTGTCGATTAGAATTGGTAGAACAGCAAGCAGTAGATAAATGTCAACAAACAAACCTGTCATGTATGTGTGTGACGCTGAGAAATCGCTAATAGAAGTTCGGACGCTGCTTAGACTGACGAGAATACGTAAATTCCCCTATCTCAAAAGGCCCTTTCCCGATATTTTAAATTTAAATAAATCATATTAAAAAAGCAATTTTTTAAATGTTCATAATAAGTGACAAAAATCGTAGAACCAGAACATTTGATATAATTTATTAACTTTTTTTTTGGTACGCCATTTTTTGCCGTTTGAAGAGAAAATGATTTAAAATGTCTCTAAATCTCAATTATAATTTAAGAATTGCCAGTATTATTTTGAATTTATATTTTGTTTTGCCACCTATTTTTGTATTTCAAAATTAATTATCGTTCACGTTATTTATTTACCATTTACATTTATTCATTTATGGGAATAATTCAAGAGCAAATTTTCATTGCGTCGAATGTAACAAAGGTAAACAAAGTCGAGCTATCAGTGTCAATCGATGCTCCTGCTATTACACTATATACTGTCCGAATATAGGATCACATCCCATTTTTAAATTTATTTACCAGTCGAATTGCTTTTTGACGTAATCACCTTCCGATCAAAATAGTTTTCGATGTTACTTAAGTCATCCGATTTCTATGGAGATGCCGTTTGCCTTAAGTAACAGCACTGAGAAACCCGTGAAAAGTGTACTTTCGTCGGTTCGCTTTCTCATTATTAAAGTGAATAAATCGAACTGTTTGTTGCTAAGATGATTTCGGTGGTCCTAAAATGATGAATGGGCTGCACGTAAGGAGACGTAATTGATAATTCTCCCGAATATCCTGGTAAATACACTTTGACTAAAGTAACAATAGGGACCACCAAACGACGTATAATAACTTTTGACTCAAAAACCAGTATTTCTTAGCATGAAAGCTAGCGTGTTGCCTTTGTATGATTAAAACCCGGCTGAACATGTTAAACATTGCTATCACTATGAGATTATATGTGTTTAATTGGAAATAGGAATAACTTTTCAGTCATCAAAACAAAACTTTATTTTTCTCGGATCGGTGCGAATGTTACTTACGTCATAATGTAAATTTTCTCTTGAATTACACGCTCGCTTAAGTTAAAGTGAAATCACTATTAAAAAATGAAACTTATTGTAAATCCACATAACACTTGCATATAAGCTGCCTCAGTGGCGCCGGTGGTGTAGTGGTAAGCATGATTGCCTCTCACCCCAAAAGGCCTGGATTCA